CTCTTCCTTTTACACCTTACCTACTAAAGGAGGAGTTCTTGATGGGTAAGTGGATGCTATCCGCAAGACACCAGGGAATTTATTAGAGGTCACTTGAGCGCATTAGCTATATCTTCTTCAGGGGGTAAAAAAGCACACAAAGAAGTATCTGTATACCTTTTATTTCCAAAGGGATTTTTCTTTTTTTCCCCTCACCCTCTTTTTTCTTTTTTTTCTTTTTTTTTTAAAGGAGGAGTTCTTGATGGGTAAGTGGATGCTATCCGCAAGACACCAGGGAATTTATTAGAGGTCACTTGAGCGCATTAGCTATATCTTCTTCAGGGGGTAAAAAAGCACACAAAGAAGTATCTGTATACCTTTTATTTCCAAAGGGATTTTTCTTTTTTTCCCCTCACCCTCTTTTTTCTTTTTTTTCTTTTTTTTTTTTAATTTCAAAGTGATAAGCTTGTTTATTTGCCAGTTTTTACTTTGTACAGAAGCCCTTAATTTGATTTGATTTGGGGTTTTGTTGCTTATTTTAGTGACATTCATTCAGCTGCTTTATTATGGAAGCTTAAAAATTCACTCATTTAAGATTTTGTTTCATTTTTGTTTTCTTTGCAAGGATTATGTAGGTTTTTTTATATGTATATGCCCCCTTTTTTTTTCTCCCCATTTTAAGGTTATATAAGGGCTTTGTCCTCTGTTATACCTTTTTTTATTTAGTTATTTATTTTGACTCTTTGGTTGCTGCTTACTTTGTTGAACTCTTTTATTTAACATGAATCGCATGCTGATACTCTTTGCATGATCTCTAAATCTTCCCGTTATCATAGCAGGGGGAAAAGAAGTTTCTTCTTACTGTGGATTTCTTTCAGGGATATGTGCTTTTGTTTTCTTCTCCTTTCTTCTTTTTTGTTCTTTCTTAGTTTCTTTTCTTTCCTTTCCTTTTGTTTCAGTGCATCATGATGGTAAAATTTCTGGGTTTATTTAAAAAAAAAAAAAGAGAAAAGAAAAAGCAAAGTAAAACCACAAACAACCCCCCCAAAAACCATTCAAACAATGCCAAATGGCTTTTTTGCTTTCAGATCTCTCAGTCAGGGTCTTCTGCTGACCTCTTTACCAAAACAGACAGCCCGCCTGGCAACATAGCCAGCCAGAACGGAGAGTATCATGAATATGACTCAGGAAACGATACTTCCTCCCCTCCCTCCACTCAAACGAGCTCATCCAGGTCAAAGGACAGCCAGGAGAAAAGAAGTCTAGTCCATGATGGCTTTGGCCATGCCTTCTCGTCCGGGAAGCCCAAACTGGCCAACAGCGATAACAGCTCTGATTCAGGAAATTCCTTCACCAGTTGCTTTTCCCAGACCAAGGGAACAGCTTTGGAAAATCTGTCTCCAGATGCCCAGGGACAAGACCGAAGGTCAGTGATTACCAGTAGCTGCTGCTGGCAGCCAAATCCCTGGTACGTTGTTGCTCTGTATCTCCTGCCTGCTCGCCAGTTGCCGTGGTGAGCTGGTCCTGGTATGTTGTTGCTCTGTATCTCCTGACTGCTCGCCAGTTGCCGTGGTGAGCTGGCAGGCAGGTTTCTGAGGTCTGGAGGCAGGCAGATATCAATCAGACCCACGGTCTTGCCAGTCTGGAGTCCAGAATCCAGCAAGGACCAGTACTGTAGCCTGAGGAGGAAGATAAAACTCATCCATCACATCCCTGGGCATTGTTTGTGCCGGTGCTTCTGGCATTAGTGTGGCTAACACAGAGTTTGGGTCTGGGTTGAGCTGGGTCTGGAGCACATCCCTGCTCAGCTGGGCATGGCCATGTCAAAGGAAAGTGTCACTGGCCCTTCTGGGCACAATCTTGAAAGGGGCATTTGGAGATTGCTGTGCCAAACCTCCCTTAACTTACTGTGGGGAAGGGAAGTGGGGCTTGTTTTCACTAAAACCATTACAGGCTGTTCTTTCACCAGTTCAATAAGTCAAATCCAATTGCCCCTTCCCAGCTCATCTAGGACTTTTCCAGGGTGACAAGATTATATTTCCTGCTGGTGGGGAGCACAGGGAGGGACATACCTCACTGGCTGCAGGATAACACAGCAGCAGTTCTGTGTGCTGGGGCCATGGGACATCCAGACTTGGGCAGAAGTCATCCTCAGGAGAGGGGAGTAGCTGCCAGCCTCCATCACCACCTCCTATTCCTGGGCATTTGCCAGGGGATGTTGGGGATGAGGACACTGAAGCATGGTGGCTGGTACTCAGGGCTGTGCTCAGGCAGTGGTGTTAGGGAGCTCTTCCAGCCCAGGCCCTCGGGCCCTAAAGGCTGAAAGTTAGAGCCAGGATGTGGTCTGGGTGTGGGAGCCCAGGGAATTGGTGCTAGGAAGAACAGGCCCTCATTTCTCAGTCGGGGGTAAAATTTTAGGGCTGTATGTACTTTTTGCATTGTGAGTCCAGTGGGATAACTCTGCCTTCACATGGGTGGAGCTGGGATTGCAGCTGGCCCTCGCTGCTGGGAGGCTGCTTGGGTGCTGGGCTCCAACCTCAGTTCGTACCCAGGGCACTTCTGGAAGAGGAGGAATTAATGCAGCCCTGTTGCATTAATTAATTCCCCAAAGGCAACAGTACATGCCTGCTCAGTGCCTACTCATGCTGCTCCACAGCCAGGCTGGAGCACAGCCCATTGCCATGCCATGCTCTGGCTTTCCCTCACTCCAGCACTTCTCACCTCACTCTCTGCCCAGGACCTGCACCGCTTGCTGGCTTGATCCAGGCTCTGCCAGCCAGACACCTCCAGTGTGTTGGGCACAGGGCGGAAGAGCTGCTCCTTGGGCCACCTGAGATCTCTTCCATGGGGTCTCCTGCAACAGCAGTGTAGGGAGCTGGGAGGTCTTTTTCTACCCCCAGCTGGGGAATGGGAAGATAGGAATGTTTACTGGAGCATAGCTCTCCTCTCAGCCAGGGACCAGTCCTAGTTCAGCCACAGCTTCAAGGAGTGTCCAAATATATGTTCACAGAGGATGCCTGTCCTTCTGTCTCAGTTGTTCGGAGGAGAAGAAGCAAAACTCCCTTCCATCCCCAACCCACAGCTCTCCGCTCAGGCCATGCTCCCGCAGCGAGTCCTACACCAGCACGGGCAGATCCTCCCCTGGCTCCAGCCGCTCCCGCTCCTCGCACCACAAGGCCTCTCCCAGATCCTCCAGAAGCAGGTCCTGCTCTTCGGGAAAGAGGTAAGGCCAGCTGAAACAGCTGTCTCTGTGACCCTGGGCAATGTCTAACTCCTTCTGGCTGGTAGGCTCCTTGCAGGGGGAAGTGTAAGAGTTTTGGGGGTACCTAGGAATCCACAAGGCTTGGGGTGAACAGGCAATACAGACCTGAGCCAAGAGCCCTCTGTGAGCCTAAATTCATGGGTCTGATACAGCTGCATCCTCCAGCATCTTTAACCCTTTTGTTTCTTTCCTATCTCCAGGTCTTCCTCACATTCCCCCAGCTATTCCTCCAAATCCTGCAAAAAAAGTCCTGGGAGTAGGAGTTCAAGGCCTCGTCGGAGCCCCAGTTACTCCCGTTACAGTCGTAGCAGGTACAGCTGTCTACTCATGTGATATCTGCTGCCTCAGTTTCCCACTGCCTCCATCATGTCTTTGGAGTTCAGTACATCTCCTGATTCTTCTCAGCCCCAAACTGCTCCCTCAGCTTCCTCACTGGATGCTCTAGTCCTCAGCACTGGAGTGACAGGGAGCAGGGGGACACTCAGGAAGGTGTACGTCAGTATGTTATGTTGGCACTCAGTCCAGTGAAGGCTTCTCACCATTTACTGCCCCAGAGCTGGTGCTGGTAGCAAAGAGCCCAGAGATGAGTTGTGGAAAAAATTGACTACCTGTAGCCAAGGACTGCCTGGCACTGATTCAGGGGGATTTCACACGAAGCACTTTTGGGGGTAGGTTGCTGGGAAGGAGACCTGGTTTATTCTTAGCTTTGAAGCATCATGATATCTCACAGTTGGAGCATGTGGCAGGTGAAGCTGCTGTTCCTCAGCTCCAAGGCCTATGAGGGACACACTGTGCAGCCAGGAGTGCACAGATGGCTGCTTGGTGGTGTGTGCCAGGGCCTCATGGGAGTGGGAGATGCCTCACAAGAAAACCTGGGGAGTGTCCCTCTCTATCATGCTGGTGTGAACAGTGGGCAGAGCGTTAGGCTCTGGCTGGGTCTGCCCACAGCTTCCATTGCCTGAGGAGCCCGTGCAGTCAGCAGCTCCGGCAGCAGGGATGCAGTCTGTGTCAGATGGGGATCTGATTTCAGCAGGGAAAGACACTGCTTTTCAGAGTCACATCTCTGCCAAAGAGTGTTGAGGTCCTGGGAAGTGTCCCTGCTGTGGGGCAGATGCCACACACCCTTGAGCTGGCACTCACAGTCATGTAGAGGGAAACACAGTCCAGGCACCTTTACCCCCTCCACACCCCATAGAAAACACATCTCCAGCTCAGCCTAGTGATGCCTTTGACAGTTTTCTTCTGGTAACATCTCTGCTGCTGTGAACATTTTGCACCCTCACAATCTTCCATCCCAAGGGTAGACTCCTGCAGGCTGTGACAATCCCTGTGCTAGTGAGAACATTTCCTGCATGCAGGGATCAGGCAGGCCCTCGACCTGTAATGTGCTGCTTTGCAAATGGCACTGAACAGGGTGTATGAAGTCAGCCACACTCCACAGAAGGGCCTGTGCTGACGTGTAGGGGAATTTAACAAAACAGAAAACCATAGCAACACTGGCACTCCTTCTGGAGAGGTGTGTGGAGCCACACAGCCTTGCAGGGCTATGGGCCCTTGGCTCACGTGGGGCCTGTTGGCAGGGCTGCTCTTGCCAGCTCCTGCAGCACGGCCAGCGAGAGCAATTCTATAGAGCTAAGTACAGAACACACCCACAGACACAGATCCCTGGAAGCCATCTCAGCTTGGCAGTGGGAGACACTGCTGGAACCCCCAGACACAATTAGTGGTGTCCATCTGTCCAGCCAGATGAGTGTTTCTTTTTCCAGCTCTATGAGCTCTGGCTGATGCCAAAACACTTAGAGTGGTCCCTTTTGTAGTTGAGTGTCCTCTGCTCATCTGTGCCTTCATGGGTTATTGCCTCCACATCCCAAACCCACCCACAAACCCCCCACAGTGACAGTTTCCAACTGTGCCTTCCCCAGGGACCGTGAGCGAGAGCACAAGTACAGCTCGAGTGAGAAGGAGTCGCACAGGGAGCGTGAGCGGCAGCGGCGGCGCCGCTCCTATTCACCCCTGAGGAAACGCCGGAGAGACTCTCCCAGCCACCTCGAAGCTCGGCGCATCACAAGGTAAGGGGCTGCAGTCCTATCCTTTGGGCTCAGCTGGTGCTTCCCAGCGGGATGTGGTCTGTCCTTGGCTCTCAGCCCTTGCCAGAGGAGGTTTCTCCAGGAGACTGGTTTTCCCAAGCCTGATCAGCAGGCCCTTCCACCCTTCCTAGAGCTTGAAGATTTCCAGCTAGAGGCAGAGGGAGGGTGTGGGGGATCTCATTTACAGCAGCTGAAGGAAAAAGGAAGATGAAGTCAGAGCGGGGACTCAGGTGCCAGGAGCATCCCCTCACAGGCTTTTTATTTCACCCTCCCCTGTGGCAGATGTCCCACACTGATGTCAAATACTGGCTCTAACCTCCATGCTGAGGGCTCTTTGGGACATCAAGCAGACCTCAGCCTTAGTCGTGGTGCTTGGGACATACCCCAGGGCTGTGGGGCGGCTGCTTTGAATCCCAAGGTCCATCAGCTACCTGATCTCTCCCTTTCTTTTAAGCAAACACATTTTTGGGAGTGTTGTGCAGAGTAAACAGTTCTTTTGGGGGCTTTTGGCAGTAAATCTGTCCTTGTGTAGCTGGTAACCCACGTTTCTCTGTCCCCACAGTGCCCGCAAACGCCCCA